ATTGCCAATATCGGGGTCTTTGCAAGCTTTCAGATGTCATACCACAAATTCATCAGAAGATGGTGTGGTTGTACTTCTGATTTTTAAGCATTTTTCAAATACTTGCACAACTAAGCATTTTCTGAATAGTTATTGAAAAGCCATCAATTTTCTTCAGTATTGATTAACAGAGTGGATTCTGGATTTGCATGTGTAATGCTTATAATGAACATAGTGATTTTTAGCGTGAAGAGTAACTCCAAACAAGTGGAAAAAATTTGATTAGAATTCAAGGCAGCATAACAACATACTATATGTACATACTATAATAAAGGTCATCATGCTCTTCAGTTTTTGTGTGTTTTGAATCAATTGTGCAGTAAAATGCAAATTTTCTTGTAGTACTTGGGAGTTAATGCTAGGCATAGTAGGCTTGAAATTGTAAACACCCCATGCGCAGTGGGAAAATATCAAAATATATATAATTTTGAAGTATACTGAATATGCATTTGAAATATTTCAGACAAGTATATATACCAAAATGGTGGAATGGTGCAAGCATAAGTCAGATAGCTCAACAAAGTTCAGGCTGCCCACTGATAGGCTTTATGAGGAGGAGGAAAGTACTGCAAGTTTTAGCCCATCTCTTCAAGCTGCTGTTATCATGGATGCTGGGCCTGGGGGGAATCCAAAAAAATGAATTTGGTGAACAGGTGGAGAATTGAGGGGAGAAGGTGCTGTAGAGCAAGGATGCTGAGCCTACAACTGGATGATGGCCGCTGCTGTGGGGAAGAAGAGTTGGGCCTCCCAGAGGCACCAAAAGGCTGGAAAAGCTCCTCCTCTGCTTCCCTCTCTGTAGCTTTGGATAGTCGTTTGTGCATTGTGGAAACGAAGTTAAATAGCATGAACGTGCACTGATTTCCTGGGTGCCAGCAGGTATTCACACTGAAACAGGCATAAGGAAAAGTTCAAGTCGCAACCTCAGGAGTTGCAAGCCAGAGGAGGTGTTGCAGTTTAATGCGCTCTAAATAAACAAGAGTCAAGGAGTGGAAGGATGCTTGTCAGCTGCACATCTGTGATTACAGACCCATGGGTGAGCTAGCAGCTAATACTCCTGTAAAGTCACAATATCATGCTAAATTGAATCTGTATTTCTAACCTGAGTTAGAATGACAAATAGCCACATTTTGGTGTAGTGGTGACAGCAAGGTTTTAGTCTAATGCCCCACGTTGTGTAAAAATAATTGCATTTTTAACATGTCTCACCAGCTGCTGACTGTTGTACACCTATGATGTTGCTAATTTTCTCCATATAATTTGAACGCAGATATGAGAAAATAGACAAAAACTAATGGATCTGGGAACAAGGGAGCAGTTTTGGACATGTGTGGCAACTGGAACAATCTGCTATGTGCTGGTTAGGAAAAGCAGTAGGAAGTTATTTTGGAAATACCAATGAAATCATTAGCCTCACTAATACAAATGGTAAAATGCAAACTGGATAGTCAGCTGTAGCAACAAGGCTGAGACTCTGGATGTCATCAGTTATGACTTTTTATCTCTCGGGAATCATCTTCTAAGTTTTGGGCATTCATAAGCTAGTGATACGTTGCGTATGCATACCAAAGAATTGGACTGGGAGATACATATGTGAATTTATGTTAGGCAGATGGGTTGCAGTTAGTGAAGAGGGGATTAGGAGGAAAGCATACCAGAAAACTGGTATTTTGCAATTAGAAAATGTACCAGGACTTTTCGTTTTTTCACAGTGTTGGTTTTGCTCACCAAGGGAGAAACTAAGAGCTCAGTCAGGTCTAATATCAGGTTGACCTACATTATGTGTAGGTGAGTGATGTACTGTTTCAGAAACAGAATATATGTAGATCGGAGTCTGAACCCTGAATGAAGAGTATGCAAATCAGCAAATTAATACATGGAAATAGTATTTTCTGTTATGAATTATGGAACAGTGGTATTTAAGTTGTTTCTGTGGACTCTGGGATGTATGAACTGTACTATAAAGTCAGAGTTTCATGGAAGATAAATAAAACAGCAGACCTCTATATCAAGTCTTCACCTCCTTAAAAATGTTTAGAGGTACGCAAATCAAGGAGGATTAAAACTCACTGCTCTACAGCATAGCTTGGGTGTATTCTGAGTGGTACTCACAGATTTGAACTACTTTTTCAAATAGTTTCTAATAAATGCACAAGTGTTTTTCCTTTTGGTTTTTTTTTAATGTTGGACTGCCATCATGTGGTTAGTTTGGTGATTTAATGTGCACTTATCTGCAAGTTTTCTTTTTTCCCTCTTAAATAATATGCACTATTCACTACTTTTATTCTTTGTGAAATGCTGTGAATTCCCTCTACAGGCTGATTTGGTGGGTTTGTTTTTGTAGGAAAACATGGCAACTGCCATTCTCTCCCTTCTAATCTCTAATCCCAACTCTCTTGGTTTAGCTTGGCTCTGTTCATTTCAGCATGTAACATCTTAGAACAGTTCTCTGCTACGCAGAAGGAGAAGGTAAAGAATACAAGGTTATACTCTATATGTGTGCAGCCCCTTTTGGTTTACTTAATATATTTTTTAAGGATTAAGCCTATTCCTAAAAGTTTTGGGATTAATTGAGTTTATGGGTTTATGCTATGAACTGTTGACAGACTGCAGTACGAGTAACGGACATTGTACGTTTTTTGCCAGACAAATCTCAATGAAGATTCATCCACACTGAGATAGTTTTGTCTTACTTGTCTTTAAGATGCATTGTCTGGCTTGGGTGGTAGGAAAAGCAAGTATATTAGTAAATACCAGGCTCCAAAGGGAATGGTGTAGAACTAAATTGTTCTGACATTAGGAGCTATAATTGAGGATTAAAATTAAAGTTTTCTACAGTTCTCTTTTCTGTTTGCTCCCTTTTAATTACCACAAACTGCTCCTCCCTCCTCCTCTCCCCCTTCCCCCCCCAAATCACCCCATCAGGTCTATATAGCAAAAATGTTACTAAGAAGTTGAAGCATTGTGGTGGGCTGGAAAAGGCCATTGAACCAAACCACAAAAGTGTTTAGTTGTCCATCTGTTGTCTGGATACCTAGCAGCCTACTGATGCGAGTGTATCCGGACTTTGTTTATAGTGCAACATGAAGCGTTATGTACCTGTTTGCTCTCGGGATGATTTCTGACAAGGAATTTTGATATCAAAAATCCTACTAAAAATTCCATTTGCGTGCACATTTGTGTCTAATAATTAATGTTGCCACTTTACAAGATGCTGACTACTCCCTCCATTGCAGCAGAGGTAAGCTCTGGACTGTGGGTAAGCAGCAAGAATGGGTGACATCGATTCTTCCAACTTTTTCTTAGTTAAGAGGTAAAGACATTTGTAGTACCAGTGATGGCAAAGTGGGGGGAGAGAGAGACCCTTATCCCTGGTTTTTGTGTAGGTTAGCCAGCGAGAGACTGTATGGAAGAGGCAAGAACGTAGCGTCATGCTTGCCTACTCAGTGTCCTCGTCCTGCACTGGGGTAGTGCTGCAGGGTTTGTTGCCTGGCGCAGGGAAAGACCCAGGGAATGGGCAGAGTAAGTTGCTTTCTGGCAGCAGGAAGATGAGGGAAACTGGGGCACAGAAGTGAAATTCTTCAGGTGCCAAGGGGCGTACTATGGCCCCGGTAGTTGAACGGTTTGTTTTTTCTTTCCTTAGGCCTCCTTATTTTGAGAAGAGGGTAAAACCTGTGTGTCAGGACCAGATTCTCTGGTAAGGTAGACTCCAGGTCTAAGAAACAGAAAGCTCTGATGTCTCTTGTTTTCTCTTTTTAAACGATTAATTAGTGCTAGAAGACTGACTCCTACTGAAGTTATGAAAAAGAGAAAATGGGCTATTTCTTGGTGGATACTTGCCCTCAGAATCTGCTGATGAGACAAAACCATCTACTGATTGTCCAGAGTATGTTAATGTTTGGGGTTGACATCCTTGTGGAATGGGAACGAATTCCTGGATAATTGCACCTTTCTGTGATAGCCAATATAGCAAGTTAGAAAAGAGTTCTTTCTTGCGTATATACCATATATATAGTATCTTAATGGTATAGACAATATTAGTTCTAGGTAAGTTGTTTAAAACTGCTGGAGCTATAACTCTATCAATTGTTTGCAGAAACACCGATGAGTGAATATCCCTATATTCATAGTACAAGCTACATCAGAACGTAATGATTCTACTCATTGTTGCATTTCATGTAAGATTCACAAGTGTAAGTGTGGAAAAAAGTATGACAGAAAACGGACTATTTCGGAAACAGTAATTTATTCACTTTTTGCAAGTTACCACGGCATTTTCACATTGTTTAAAGACAAGAGTCTTTTTTTCCCTCCCAAAGCATACTGAGATTTTCTATTCTTTTCAAATAAAATGATCTTACAGGTAAAATTTAAACATCCATTATCCTTATGTGGTCACTCAGTGGCTCACAGCAAATGCCTTTGGATTATGGACTGCAATTTTGGGGGAGAAAAAGGAAAAGAGTTGTCAGTGTAATAGGGAAGGAAAAGTCTGTCATTATTAAGACTATTAGGGGTATAATTAAAATAATGATGTCAACTACCACCACGGTGATGCTAATACAGTCTTTCTGGCATTCTTGGTTACAGGTGGCTTGGACAAGCTTAGTGTGACGTGAATGAGCTATAACAACTTGCGGTGCAGTCACTGCTCTTGGGCTAATTGCAGAGTTTACCTAGCAGTGGCAATGTGCAGAAGAACCCCATGCAACGCTACAGGCCTGGGGAAGAGTGGCTGGAAAGCTGCCTGGTGGAAAAAGACCTTGGGGTACTGGTTGACAGCCGGCTGAATATGAGCCAGCAGTGTGCCCAGGTGGCCAAGAAGGCCAATGGCATCCTGGCCTGTATCAGGAATAGTGTGGCCAGCAGGAGCAGGGAAGTGATCGTGCCCCTGTACTTGGTGCTGGTGAGGCCAGACCTTGAATACTGGATTCAGTTTTGGGCCCCTCACTACAAGAAAGATGTTGCGTTGCTGGAACATGTCCAGAGGAGAGCCACAAAGCTGGTAAGGAGTCTGGAGCACAAGTCTGATGAGGAGCGGCTGAGGGAACTGGGGTTGTTTAGCCTGGAGAAGAGGAGGCTGAGGGGAGACCTTATTGCCCTCTACAACTACCTGAAAGGAGGCTGTAGCGAGGTGGGGGTCGGCCTCTTCTCCCTGGTAACAGACGATAGGACAAGGGGGAATGGTTTGAAGTTGCACCACGGCAGGTTTAGGCTAGACATTAGGAAAAACTTCTTCACCGAAAGGGTTGTCAGGCTCTGGAATGGGCTGCCCAGGGAAGTGGTCGAGTCCCAGTCCCCGGAGGTATTTAAAAGAAGGATAGATGAGGTGCTTAGGGACATGGTTTAGTGGTGGGATGGCAGGGTTAGGTTAATGGTTGGACTTGATGATCTGAAAGGTCTTTCCCAACCTAGATGATTCTATGGTTCTATGAAAAGACAAAAAGAGCTAGTAATGCAGTTAAATTTTTAAAACGCATCTAGAGTCATCAGTTTCAGTAACGCCAACTACATTTCAAACTGCAAAGTTACTTGAAACAAAAGACTGAATTGTTTGATTTCAGTAAAGCTGAACTGAAATGTATTAATTGTATTGAAATGTTAAAAGGATTAAATACACATAATTTAGTCAAAATTGGAGGGGAAAGTTCCAGTTTTGCAAAAGGACTGGTTTCCTGCAGAAAATTCCATCAAAATATTTTGACCAGCTTTAGATTTTATCTTGGAGAGACTGGGGAAAAGATTTTACTGGAGAAGTTTTGTTTTGAAGCAGGTGATGTGTTGGAAAAACACAGAATGAAGAGGTTGTTCAGGTTGCTGACAAGAGAAAATGAAGATACTCAGGAAGTGGTCTGTACTAAAGGGACAGGAACCTCATTCTCCAACCGTGGCAATCAAAACCACTTGCCCCTTTAAGTGTCTTGCTCTCTAAATACTTTTTCCTACTTTCTCATGTTTTTGGTTTCAAATTCCTCTTTTCTCAAAGCCTGACACAGTGGTACATTTGCCTTTTGTTTAATTTTCCATCCTTAACCATTGTTTTGTCTCCTTAAGTATTAATATAAATGTTATTGCTTTTTTATTATTGGAAAGATATATTTATTCCTATAGGACATTTTGTCCTTCACATCTGTTATGAAAATTCATTATTTCATCTCTTCACAGAGGTAGCTGAAAATCCCATCTACTTTCATATTGACACCCTTTCCGCAAGAGTCTGTGAGTTCCTTGGCCCTGTGGCACGTTTGTTTCTGCAATGCATTCTGCAAAAGCACTGCATCCTCATGGTACTTGAAGAATACATAAGGAAGAATGCAAGGAGAAGAGATTCACAGGGAGTAACCATGTTGGAAACAATGATTTGTGAACAATCAGACCTTAGAGGAGATGGTGGGTGCTACTGGGAAAAGCACCCATCAGATGAGAAACCTGAGGGGAAGGGATGTCATAAGTAACTTCAGAACGGATTTGAGGTGGGTCTTCGCTTTCATCAGATGTGATGCTTATTTGTTCTGAGATGAATTCCCAGTTCCTCTTTACAGAATGTTAGCATCACACCAAAATAAATCATAGGATTTTATAGATCATTATAGCTTATATACAGCTTATTGTATAGACCATGTATGCGTGACTTGTGCACTCAAGCTCGACGTTTTGAAGAATGCAACCACTGGTTGCTTCAGATCATTGAAATTAGCTGTTTTGCCATATTTGAATAAAAATTCTTTGCCCACTAGAGGGTGTTGTAGTTCTTAGAATAGCTAGAATAATGCTACTTAGTTTAACTAAATTCAGTGCAAAACAAATCCTCGGCACAATCCTGTGGTTAAGAAATTAAGGGTCAGGGAGCTTTGCTGATTTGTAGCAGCTGAACATCTGCTTTGGAACACACAAATTGAAGGATTTCAAATTTATGGTTTCCCACAACAACCATGACTTGTTCTTGTTTTACGTACAGTTGGCATTTTTACTGACAACTTTTATTCTTGAACTTATAACTGTTTTATTTTTTCTTTTAAATTTCGTAATGTGCAAAATTATTTGCTCCCATTTTCTTACTTTCTTTATAACAAAAGAATAGAGACTAATAAAATCTAATACCATTTCTCCTGTCATTCTAAGTAGCGATTGATAGGCATCAAAGCCTCAAGAGATGATTGTGATCTAGAATTGCCTCGATGAATTAGGAACATATCCTCAATACCACATTCCTCTCTCAGTTAAAAACCGCATAGATGAATAGGAGCATTTCCTCAGTACTACATTCCTCTGTTAGGTGAAACAAGCTATTCCTGAGATAAAATGCTTTGAATGATCCATGGTCCTTATGACCATGGACTGTAATTGCAAGTACTAGAAAGGGTTTTCTTTGAAATTTTGCCATTAGATGGAAATCGGTAATTTTCCCTGTTTTGTACAAATTCAGTTTTGTGTTATGTAGTGTTCTACTCTTGTTGTGTTTATATCTGCTGTCCATCTTTAATGTCCAGTACGTGGCATACCTTGGTTTTAACACTAAGGAGATTTATATCCCTGAAGCCACATTTCTTCATTTGTATCCAGTATGTTTTCTATTGCTAAATCCATCTTTCAGACGAGAAGAAACTAATGACTTGCAGTCATTCAGGCAGAAAGTTTATGTAACTGTGCTTGCATTTTTTTCTCTAATTTGGACATGTAGTCAGAGCAATCACAATTACAGTGACTGTGTGAAAGGACAGTAATTGCCTATGCAAATGAGGCACACAATTGAAAGCATTTTTTTCTCAAGATTTAAGCTTAAAATCATTTAGTCCTCTTCATGCAATTAGAGGTGATGACAGTCCTCTAGCAAAATTCAGGAGCATTAAATGACATACCGCTTACCTATTTCTTAACTGTAGATTTAACTGAATATATTTTATGTTCTTTGTCTCATGCTCCAAACTGCTACTTGGTTTTGTTACTTCGTAGTGGAGATTTTATTTCAGTGTAGTGGCGAGTAATACATTTGTAATACTTATGCATATATGTAATACATATACACATACACCTCTCTGAATGTTTTGTGAAGTTGAAATTGCATTTATTAAATGTAGTAAAATTCTTAAATAGAGAATATTAAATAAAGCACTTTCAAGAATATATTTAATCATGGTAAAAATATGTTCTTCCAGTTAAATGGTTTCCACTATTTCATTGTTAATGATTGTAGGTCCAAAACATTTGAAAGGATCAAATTGATCTTAAACTATGGAATGATGCTTATTTTGCCTCACAGCAAAGTGGAATTTTGCCAGACATTTAAAATGTCATTACTGCAAAGCTGTCCAAAAGTAGGGGAAATTTTAGCCCCATTTTCTTTTAAAAACATACGGACTCCTGAAAAGCAAGGCTAAGAAGAAAACTGCTCATTCAGCACAACAGTAGAACTGCTGCTAAAACTGCTGTTAAGAAAAAATAATCAGCAGATAAATCTAGAGACTTATGGCAACTCTCATCTTAAGATGGCTGGCTGTGGAAAACAGAAGAGACAGTCTGGTATTCAAGCATCTTGTTGAGTCACTAAAAACGGGTGAAGTTGAAATGCTTGTTATTAAATTGTATGAAACTGGTAGTGTCAGAACCTGTTCTGCAATGTGACATATGGTACATCTTTGCATAGTATTCTACAGAACTTAGCATTACGTGAAGTGCGTCTGGATGAGTTTCAAAATCCATTCGTCTCTACTATCACCTCACCAATTTTTTTTTGTTTTAAAAATCATCAAAAGCAGTTTAGCATTAGTATACTTTCAGCAGCATCACCTTTGTACAGAGAAATCTTAGGCCAGCTTTCCTTTCCTCTTTTTTTGATAGCTTCATTCTGGAGCAGTGCAACTGAAAGCAAAACTCAAGAGCTTGTCAGGAGCTGTGAATGTAAGTTTGTGCTACGATGAATCACATGACAAGAGGCACATTTTTGGCTTGGCACGTTTTTCACATGACATCGAAAAGAAAAATCCACATACAGCTTAATGTGGCAAAAATTTCAACAAGCTTTCTATATTTCAGTGAGGAAATCTGTTCGTTTCAGGCAATTAGTGATGAGGATGTATACCCGAAATCTTGCACCTCTTGAGTTTCCAGTGTTGTCACGTTTGCATGAGAAGTTGCTACACCGACAGAGCAAATTAAAATCCTGACTCCTTTTTTTGAATTTCACAGGACATCATGTTTGCAATGAGCAGAACCCTTGAGGACAGAGAAGTTTATTCACAAAGATTTAGAAGAAAATACAAGGCCAGCAGGGAATTGGTTATGGCTTCCTAGATTTCTGGATTTTTATTTTGTTTTTCCCAGTTTGTACCGGTTGGAAACAGTTGCTGAGCAACTGGTTCCTGTGTGCTCTGGCCACTCCTCATCTGTGATAAGCTTTCTTTAGGTTACCTATATATCCTCTGTGCCATGTGGTCTGGGAGGGACATCAGCGTTCTGTTCTGTGATGAGATGACTAGCTGAGCAGATAAAGGGAGAGCAGTGGACGTTGTATACCTTGAATTTAGCAAGGCCTTTAACAGCCTATCTAGTGTTCCTACAGCTAAACTGGGAGCTATGGGCTGGGTAAATAGACATTAAGGTGGGTGGAAAATTATCTCAACCATTGAGCTCTAGGCATGGTGATCACTGGTACAAAGCTCAGCTGGCAGCTGGTTATGAGTGGCATGCCTTGGGGATTGATGCCAACCATGCTTGTCTTCAGTTACAGTTTGGATGACTGGACAGGGTGCATCCTTTGCAGGTTTGCAGATTATATGAATTGGGAAGGGTGGTCAGTACACTGGAGGGCAGGGCTGCTGTTTGGGGGACTTCGTCAGGCTCCAGAAATGGGCTGTCAGGTACCTCATGAAATTCACCAAAGGCAAACGTGAAGTCCTGCGTCTGGGCTGGAATAAGCCCATGCAACAGCACAGGGCGGTGCTGGCTGGCTAGGAAGCAGATTTGTAGAAAAGGACCTGAGGTCCTTGTGGACAGTGAGTTGCGTGTGAGTCATCAGTGTGCCCTTCTGGTGGCATCTTGCGCTACATTAGGAGGAGGGTGGTCTGCAGGTGGAGGGAAGTGGTGGTTCTTTCCCCCTGTCTGGCACTTGTGAGACCACACTTCTAGTGCTGTGACCAGTTTTGGGCTCCCCAGCACGGAAAAGACATTGACATAGTGGGGCAAGTCCATCAGAGGGCCATTGAGATGCTTAGGGGGCTGGAGCACATGATGTACAAGGAGAGGCTGAGGTGTGTTTGTTTGTTCCCTCCTAGAGAAGAGAAGGCTAATGCAATGGAGGGAAACTTATTGCTGTCTATGACTACCTAACAGGAGGGTGTTGAGAAGACAGAGCCAGACTCTTTTCAGAGGAGCACAGTGGAAGGACAAGAGGCTGTGACCAGAAGTTACCACATGAGAAACTCCAGCCTAGTGCAAGGGGTAAACCTTTTGCCCTGAGAGCAGTCAAACACTGGAACAGGTCGCCTGGATCGGTTGTGGAAACTCCATCCACAGAGATACTCAAAACTCAACTGGCCACTGCCTTCAGCAGCTGGATCTAAATGGACCTACTGTAAAGGGTTGGTGCAAACATTCTCCAGTGGTTCCTTCCAACCTAAATGATTCTGCCTAAAGGTTTCATTGCATGGTAGTCATTGAATGCATATGAGCTAAGACCAGTAAGAGACATCTATCTCTCTTTATTAATATTTTAAAAGCAAAAGGTACAGGTCAATGGAGTTTTGTTTTGCAGGGGACAATATAAAGATGAAACAACTAAAATGAAAGAAGAAGAAATGAGTGATGAATTTTTGTTTGTATAGTATGTTACTTGAGTCTTAGAAGTGAATGAACAGTACTATATTTATTCCACCTTCTCTGTGTCTTCTTGATATTTCAGTTATCTTTTCTCTCATAAAAACTTCCTAGGAATCGCATTCACTTTCTGTGATGTAATTGCTTGCACACATCAGTAGTGATCTATCTGAAACCTAGACTTTTTTCTCCTCCTGGTCTAACTGGAGGGCTTTTCTGGAACTTCTGATTCCAAGGCTAATTGTCTTTTTAATAATGATAATAATAAAAATAATGATATGGTTCTGTGTATTCCTACTGCTGAGAGAAGTTCAGTAGTTTTTTTTTGAAGGCTCATCTTCAGGGAGATTTGAAGTCATTTTACTGAAGCTAAATTGTCTTGAGTCAGCAACTGTGCACAGAGATAGTATAAGCTATATATCGAATGCTTTGATTAACAGCTTAGCAGTTTCCTTCTTGAATTGAAGTCTCTTGGTGCCTTCCCACCCCACTACTAGCTAGAAAATTAACAGGCTTTGAGATTTCCCCCTCTGACAGTCCAATATTTAAAAGCTTAAAAAAGAAAGGTGAGTATGTAGGTAGCAATCAGTTACAGGATCATCTTTGTTCCCTCAGGCTAATGCTCCAGAGAGGGAAAGCACCACAACAAAAACAGCGTGCAATGTATACTAAAGTCTAAAGTCTGGTTTCAGACAGGTTGACTGTTGGACATTGATAATCGATCTGTTTCTAGCCTTTCTTGGTTTTATCTGTTGTAATGTTTTTTCCCCAAGAAGTTATATATTTCTTGTATCAAATAATTTTATTCAGAAATAAATGGTAGCTATAGAGACATTATAGCCTTGCTATGGGATTAAATACACAGACAGTTCTGCATGAAGATGTATAAATCATAACAGTGTACTCCATCAACTTTCATTTTTATACCCATAAGATGAGGCATTAAGTACAGTTTTTACCTTGTAAAATGAAGAAAGGGAAACAACAAGAATTTATTGCACCCAATAAACAAAAGGAAAGAAAGGGAATAGAATTTAAGAAATAATGTGCTAACTCAAAACAATCCAGAGATGAATATTAAATATATAAGCTATATATCTAAAGCCATTCAGTAATAAATAACATGGAAAAACCATTGTAAATCATAGGACCTAGCTTAGTTTCCACATATTGTTGTTTTATGTAAGATCAACCAGGCCTTATAGAATCATAGAATCGCTTTGGTTGGAAAAGACCTTTAAGATCATCGAGGTCAACCTTTAACCTAACCCTGCCATCCCACCACTAAACCACGTCCCTAAGCACCTCCTCTATACTTCTGTTAAATACCTCCAGGGATGGGGACTCCACCACCTCCTTGGGCAGCCCATTCCAGAGCCTGACAACCCTTTCGGTGAAGAAGTTTTTCCTAATGTCTAGCCTAAACCTGCCGTGGTGCAACTTCAAACCATTCCCCCTCATCCTATCGTCCGTTACCAGGGAGAAGAGGCCGACCCCCACAGAGTGTTTTTTCACAATGCGCTCCTTTGAACTGGGTTTGTGTAGGTAAAGACTGTGAAGTAATAATGTGCTGAATGTCTCCCATGTTACCAAATGTTATACCTACCTTGCTGTTTGCCTATAGATCTTGCTGTATCTGGGTCTTTTGCTCTCTTTGAGCTTCTTAGTAGGCATGGTCTGCAGTATTTGATTTCCCTGCTTGACTCTAAGTTTTGATATGTCAAAATGAATATTTTAGATTACTGAACAGAATTAGGATCCAGTGCAAAAGAAGAATTGGGGATCCAGTGCAAAAATTTGCTATTGACTTGTTGGAAACTAGGTCAGGTCTGGAAGCATCATCTCCTGCGCATGTTTTTGGAGTATTTTTCAAGTAAAATTAAAATCAATTTTAAAAGTGTTTTCAATAAACACCTTACTAGCTCCTTTGCCAGGAAGGCTTTCATAAGCATGAAAAATATATTATCCTCTTATACCTAACTGTGCATGGTAAAGAAACACAGTAGTGCTGACATGTAATCAGAAACTTAAGTCCAAAGAGGCCCAAAGTTGGATGGGCTTTCAACAAATTGTTCTGAAGGGATGCCATTTTTCTGTGCTTACCTATGACTTGTCAACAAAACTTTGTGTTAGAGAGCATTTTCAAGAACTGAAGTGAAACAGCTTTCACAGAGGGAAGTTTTTTTAATTAGGCGCATGGGTCCTATATATTCCCTATTTGTAACAGTCACCCAAATACCAGTAGTATTTCCCTAGATAGAAGGGCTCTTTCCTGTTTCAGAATAAATGATATAAAAAGCTTGGGTAGGATGGTGTTGGAAATGTTTTGAAGTTGAATGCCAAGTACATCATAAAAGTAATCTTCAATGCCCGCCCACATTTCTCAGTATGAAACTTGGCACAAATGCCAGTGCCAAACCTTCAACCTTGTGTCAGCCTAAGGGTCTGGTAGAGATTTGCCAGATGCTGTTCTAGCAGCTCACCTGGAACACTGAAGGTGATAGAAACTCTGCTTGGTCCTTTGAAATATAAATCCCTTTCTTGGTAACTCAGTATGGATTCCCAGTATTGAATGCTGTCTTCATCTGTGGAGGCTTTGCATACAAATGCTTCTTCAGAATCATCAACAGTTGAACAATAGGAGAGAAATCTGCTTTATTTCTCATCTAAAGGTAACTGGGCAGCTTTACCTACATAATCGCTTGCATGATATATTCAGCTCCAACTACAGTGTTCAAAAGCTTCTCAAAGCCAGACTGTTGTGGTATGCCTAAAAGGAAAAGCTTGGAGATCAGTGACCCAAACCACATAGTCACTCTGAAGTGGTTGATAGCTGCCAATATCTGGTTTCACGCCAGAGAAAGCCATAAGCTATACAGCACTAGCATCTTTAGATATTTGTATCATGTATGTTTCTAATGCAAAAACTGACAAAGAGTATAACACCCACTGAAAAATACATTCCTTATTACACCTTATTTTTCTAAGTTCCTTGCTAAGTGTAAGAGAAACAGTTACATAACTGTCAAAGGGGAAAAAATCTTTGTTCTAATTAAAATGTAGTGAAATTGTTTCATATTGAAGGAGAGAATGGAATTAAGTTGGTCAAAGGAGACCAATTTCATCAAAGAAGAAAATAACTAAGACTTAAGGTACCTCCAAGAGTGGGGAAAGAAATGGACAAAACCTGAAAACCTTGTTAGCATCTTGTTAGGAGAAAAATAGGTTACTAGTCTAGAGGTAAACTAATTGTAAGTAAAGTAATAATAGTTATGTCAATGTATTCTGTAAATGTTTTTAACTGTATTATTTGTTCTGGAGGTCATGATTTTTGCATTTTTTCTCAACTTCTC